TGGTCAATGACATGAGACAAAGTATATGTGAACTGCTGTATGAAAAGTGAATTTACTCTGTAAATCTTCTCCCAAATCCTAATAAAAAAAAAAAAGATATACAGCCTTGGAAACCCTTTGGGGGTTGCTATTAGTTAGAATCTACTCAATGACAGTGGGTGTGGTTTTTCATTCTGAGAGCACTGATTGAAGACAACTGCTGGCAGAAATAGGTATGTAGAAGTGGTTTTCATAAAGATTGAAAGAGTAAGAATGTAAGTTTAATTAAAAAGGACATTCTCTCTTTTTTCCCCTCTTCCATGAAGGTACCAGAAAGCAGCTGAAGAAGCAAATATGGAAAAGAGGAGAAATGTAAGTATGCAGAAGCCCCATGGCATGTGGAACTTCTTGAACGGAGCCTGTGTGGCCAGGACACCTGTAGCCTCTGGGGGCTTGGGTTCCATGTTAGCTGTGGGCTGAGCATTCGTGCCAGCTGGTCTGATTTGTAAGCCATTTGCTCAGAAGAACTTGGTTTAGTTGCAGGGAATCTTATTTTTTTCACTGAGCTTCTGTTGTTAACTCGCTTTTGCTTTCCTGAGTTGTATGAAGGACTAAAGGCCAAGTGCTTTGCCTGAGGTTAGTAAAATTGGCTTACTGGTTCTGATCAAGTTGGAACACAGAGTTCCTTAGGCTGTCATCCCTTTTTCCCAGATCAGAACCCAGAATATCTAATCTGTACATTTAAATGATAGCAACTTGTTCTGCTTACCTAGTGCCACTCTGACAAGAAAACACCACAAATGGAATGGCCTTAACAAACAGGAGGTTTATTCTTACAATTTGGAGCCTTTAAGTCCAAGTTCAAAGTGCCAAGCTCTAGGGGCTGGGTGAAAGCCCCCCAACTTGGGGTCCAGCTCTGCCTCCTGCTCCCGGCCCACTGGAGCTAGAGGCATTTCTTCACTCAGACAGCTGCTGGCTGCTGAGGCTGAGAAGCCCCAAGGTTGAAAGTCAAAAGGCATAGTCCCAGTGTTACCAAACCACACGGCAGGCCATTAACTTAAGTCCATTGTAGGTCCCAAGGTCAGCAGAGCACATGCAGGGTCCAAGTGTGCCATAAGCTAGAGACCATTCTCAAAACTGCTCCTTATATATGGGAACCAGACCACATACCCAAAGGTAGCTACTCAGCTGCTCCCAGTAGATACCACCATGGAGTTGATTACCAGCCTCATCATGGGGAATAACTACCACCAGCTGCCCAGCCACTCAACCAGGCCCAGCCAAGTTGACACAAAAACATAACCACCACAATTTGATCAAGTTGGAACACAGAGTTCCTTAGGCTGTCATCCTTTTTTCCCAAATCAGAACCCAGAATATCTAATCTGTACATTTAAATGATAGCAGCTGTACAGCTGGTGTCATCCTCTGGGTTCCTTGTTTAAGGCAGACTTCTTACTTTGGTCCAGTTAACAAGTTCCCAAGCTGTGGGATCAGGAAAAAAAACCCAGAACAGGTTTTCGTTACTATCTGTTCTCTTCCCTCCCTTCTTACTTAATGCCTCCTGGGCTTGGTAATATAATTTCTTTTAAAATATGACTTGATTTAATTTTATAAGGGAAAAAAAACCTCACATATTTGAGCAAGAATTTAATTTGACTGGCATTATAAAAACATCCTCCTGGCAGTCTTCTGTTTCTAACCTATTTAAATTAGCGCATATGTGGCTTTGTCAATTTGCACTCTTGAAGGCGGTAATGAAGGAGCCCTGGTGGTGTAGTAGTTAAAGCACTCAGTTACCAACTGAAAGGTCATTGGTTTTAGCCACTCTGCAGGAGAAAGGTGTGACAGTCTGCTTCCATAAAAGATTTATAGCCTTGGAAACTCAACGGGGCCATTGTTCTCTGTCCTATAGAGTTGCCATAAGTTGGAATCAGTGACAGTAGCTTTGCTTTTTTTGGGAAGAGGGTATTGTTGACCAGTTCCTTGGCTTAATTTTCCTATAATTCAAAAAATGAATCTCTCTAGTGCATCATGAGAAAAAGCTACCATCATTTCACTCATTATTTCATATTTCAAATGGTGGTTTCTTTTCTTCCTGTCTCTTGCTCCTGCCTGTCTTTTACTTTCTATTCTTTTTTCCTTCTTTCCTGTCACTCATTTACATATAATCACAGAATACCTACTACATGCCAACCACTGTTTTAGGACTGGAGATACAGACTACATCTCTACTTTCATATTTACTTTCTAGTGGAAGAAACACACAATGAAATGGTAAGAGGTAGAGAGATGGTCAAGGAAGACCACTGAGGAAGTGACATTTGAACACTCATCTGAAGACATGAGCCAGTAGGAAGAGCTATTCAGGCAGAAGGAAGAATGTATGCAAATGTCCTGAGGCAGGAACATTCTTATCCTCTTTGAGGAATGGGAAAAACAAAGTCTCTTAGGGCCATTGTGAGGAACTAATTGACATGGGAGGAAGATGGGGCAATCTACTTCCGTAGTGATACTGCCTCGGAAACCCAAGGAGGGGTCGCTATGAGTCAGGTCTGACTCGACGGCACATAACAACAACAACAACAACAATTGACATGGGGATCTTTGGGGGGCTTGGAGGGTGTTCTGGTTACCTAGTGCCACTCTGACAGGATGGCCCAAATAGGATGGCCTTAACAAACAGGAGTTTATTCTCGTACAGTTTGGAGGCTTTAAGTCCAAGTTCAAAGTGCCAGGCTCTAGGGGCTGGGTGAAAGCCCCTCAACCTCGGGGTCCAGCTCTGCCTCCTGCTCCCAGCCCAGTGGAGCTAGAGGTGTTTCTTCACTCAGACAGCTGCTGAGGCTGAGAAGCCCAAGGTTGACAAGTAAACAGGCACAGTCCTGATGTTAGCAAACCACACAGCAGGCCACAAATTTAAGTCTGTCGTAAGTTCCAAGATCGGCAGAGCATGGCAGGCTGCTGAACAGTGACACGGCTGTGTGCAAGGTCCAAGCGTGCCATAAGCTAGAGACCATTCCCAATGTTTCTCCTTATATACAGGAAGCGGACCACATCCCAAAGGCAGCTAGCTACTCAGCTGCTTGTGGTAGATCACACCATGGAATTGATTGCCAATCTCATTATGGGGAATAACTCCCAGCAGCTGCCCAGCCACTCAACCAGGCCCGGCCAAGTTGACACACAAACATAACTACCACAGAGGGTTTTGTGTGTAAAGGAATAATAATATGATCTGACTTATATTTTTTAAAAGGGGGAGGAGACTGTAGGGAACAATAGCGGAAGAAAAGAGACCAGGTAAGAAATGATTGCAATAATTTAGGCAAGAGATAATAATGGACTGGACCGAGGAAATAGCTGTATAAATGATGAGAAGTGGTTAGAATTTTTATTGAAGGTAAAGCAGCCAAGATGTGTTTGTACTTGGGTATGAGCTATAAGAGAAAGAGAAGAATCAAGGATGGCAACAATATTTTTGGCCTGGAGTCTGGAAAAATGCTATTAATTGAGATGGAGAAGACTGCAGGCCAAGCAGGTTTGGGGAGGGGAAAATAGTAGAGGCTCAGTGAAATGCTTTTTTAAAGACATACACATAGAGAGATCAAGTAGGAACTTGGATATTTAAGTCTGAAATTAAAAGAGATCTGGGCTGGAGATAGAATGTGTAGCTATTTAAAACCATGAGATGCCTGAGATCACGTAAGGAGTGAGTGTAGAGACAGTGGAGAAGAGGTGTGAGGACTGAGCTCAGGGGTGCCTTAGTGGGTTGAGGTTGGAAAGACGACATGTTGTTGTTAGGTGCTGTCAAATCGTCTCCAAATCATAGCTACCCTGTGTACAACAGAATGAAACACCGCCCAGTCCTGTGCCACAGGAGGCTAAGGAAGACAGCTGGTGAAATAGCAGTAGAAACAAGAAAATGGAGTACCAGAAACCAAGTGAAGAAAGTCTTGTAGAAGGAGAGTTGTCAGCAGTCAAACACAAACCTGAGAATTATTTGAACATTAGATTTGGCAACATGGACATCATTGATCACCTTGCACTCTTTGAGAGTGGTGGGATGAAGGCCTGATTGGAGTAGGTTCAAGACAGAGTCAGATGAGAGATGTCAACACCACATGGACAAACATTTGTGGAACTTCTCTGATGTGCCAGGTGCTGAAGACACAAAAGGGACTAATATGCTCCCTGCCCTCATGGAACTGTTAAAACAAACAAAAATAGTTGCTGTCAATTCAGTTTTAACTCATGATGACCCCATGTGCACCAGAGCAGAACTGTGCTCCATATGCTTCCCATGACTGATTTTTTTTGGAAGTAGATTGCCAGGGCTTTCTTCCAACATACCTCTTAGTAGACTTGGTCCTCCAACTTTTAGGTTAATAGCTGAGCACTTAAATGTTTTTGCCACCCAGGGATATCTCAAGGTGTTTAGAGTTTGGAAAACAGAAGTCACAACACAAATGTGATAAGTAACATATCAAAGAAATATCCAGGGTGCTGGAAGGGAATTTAGGAGGGACCCATAGCCTGGACTATGCCATGTCAAGGAAGGCTTCCCAGGAGAGATGATACCTGACCGAGCCCTGAAGGACAAATAGGAATTAACAAAGTGGGGAAAGGATTAGCAGAGGGGGGCAAAATCTAGACAGAGGAAGCAGCACACAGCATGGAACTATAAGTGAACCGGCACATTTGACAGTTGAAATGATAATTGTCACATTCACCAAGATGGAGAACTTAGGAAAAGAAACCTGTTAAAGAATAGGAATGAAAAAACAAGGGAGAAGACTTCAGCCTTATACAAGGATGAGTTTATGATGCTTATAGAATTTCTAGGTACATAAGAAGAAGAGATACAGTAAAACCTGCAAAAGCCAGAAATTGTGTAAGACAGAAACCTACCAAAGAAGGAAAACTAAAATAGTTTCCATTAAGAGAAAGCAATAGAAAACTGGTAAGACTGCATCCTGTCAAAGGCAGAAAACTTGTGAGACCCAGATAAACAAGGCAGCCCTGTCAAGTTCTGGCTCTCATAGGTTTCACTGTATATGGATCTCAGGCCTAGAAGGGGGTCCCTGCTTGATGCAAACAGTTAAGGTGCTCAGCTGCTAACTGAAAAGTTAGAAGTTCAAGTCCGTGCAGAGGCACCTTGGCAGAATGGATCGGTGATCTTACTCCAAAAAATTAGCCATTAGAAAACCCTGTGGAGCAGTTCTACTTTGACACACTTGGGGTCACCATGAGTCATAATTGACTTAATGACAACTGGTGGATAGGTAGGCTTAGGACAGACATCTGGCTAGAGTTACAGCATGAGTCATCAGCTGATAGTTGATGGGTGAAACCAGTGGGTGGATGACATCATC